CTGGAAAAGCAACACTTCCATCAACCATTTGGATGCATTAAGAACCAAAATCCCTAAAGCTTTTCTAACTGCATGTAATTGGAGATGTGAGGAAGGAGGGAAGGATGGAGGGAGGGAGAAAAGGAGGGGATGATGGAGGGAGAGAGAAGAAGGAAGGAAGGAAGGAAGGAAGGAAGGAATTATGCAGATTCATTTATACTGGAAACAGACTTTTTTATAAATAAAGAAGAGCTTAAATGCTTTAGAATTATGTGCTTCATCTTTCATTCAAGACATCATGTTCTTGCTCTTGAGGAGATGGTCCTAAGGACAGGAAGAAGCAGATATGTCCTCTCTTCCTCAAAAGCAGAAAAAAATAAGCTTAGAAGGGACTGAGCCACAGGTTTCCTTTTCAAAAAAACACACGTTTCAAACTGTTTTATATACCCCAAAAATGTACACTGGGAACAACATAAAAGGGATTTTCCTTTCCTCCCCATCCCATTTTGGCAGCCCCTCAGGAGACGGTGTAGCTACGTAGGCAGCGACTGATGGAGGGGCTCTGATTGTTCTGAGATGCTCCAGGGATGTGGAAAAAGCTTAAAAACCCAGGATTCAGGTGGAATAACATCTGCTTTGCATTAGCATCTCCTTCTTGAGGTTTTCCTTTTTTTCCTTCTTTCTCCTCGTTTCCTTTTCTCTCCACTCTCTCCTTTTTCTCCTGCCTTTGGGTTCTCTGTGTCTTTCAGTGTCCGTTCTCCTCCATGTTTGTTTTTCTGCCCAGTATATCCTCACCCTGAGGGTAAGTGCTGAAGGCTGGAGGTTAATGGGCAACTTGGGAAAACTGTGATCAAGGCCATCCCTTGCCCTGGTAACCCCAAGTAAGACACTGAACCTCAGATCCTCCCTAAATCCTGGAGGCATCTGAAGATGGATGAAGACTTGGTCTTTAGTCTCCCTAATTTCACTTCACATCTAGTGTGGGGATATTGCTTTTTTCCCCAAATTCCCTGGGATTTTTTTAAGATTTCTGGATAGACCTGTTTTAAGTAGACTCGGTCTACTCCTTACTCATCATCCTGCTGCTCCTTCCCCTCCATCCCTGGTGCAGATGTCCTTCCCTACCTCTCACACCTGAGTTTCTATAGGATATGGGGCTGCTTCTGGAAAACATATGTCATGGAAAACACAGAGATAATTAATTATCTCTATGTGACCAGAATTTGGGGAAGATGTTTTTATACTCTCCAGAGCCTGGATGCCGTGCTTTGAAAACATTCTGAATGATACAGAGCTGCAGAAAAGGCCAACAGAGAATATTAGTAAGAGAAAACCTTCTTCTATGAGGTGGGGAGGGATATTTTTAGGATATTTTCTCCTCTCTGTGCACCTCAAAGGCTTTGGTTCAGCCTCGATGTAAACTTCCAGCTTTGCTTACAGGCTGTATCAAGCAGGGAGGTGCTGAGGTCCTGGCTCAAAATGAAGATCATGCTTAAGGGCTGAGAAAAATGTGCAGTATTTAAATAAAAATAGCAATTAAACACTGAAATGTCGCCCTGAGTGCCTCAATGGCTCAGAGGCAGTGTTGCTTATCCAGCTCTGGCCGTGCCCAGTGCTTGGGCCACCTGAAAGTGTCTCGGATGTTCTGGTGAATCCCCATGGTCTCTACTTTTTAATTTAGAGCAAAAAGCAGCTGTTACTGCAAATAATTACCCTTACATCTGTATTACACACAGTGTTGTTCCCTTCACAACTCCAAAACACAGTTCCTTGAGGACTTATATTTCCAGGGTTGTCAATCCAACACCTTTCACCAGCGCTAAATTCATTTACAAGTGGGGAGAAAATAAAAATATTTAAAATATAATCAAGCCACATTAAATAACCATTTGGGAGCCCAGGCTTGCTTGGCTGAACTTGATATTAATTAGGCTAAATCCAAAGGCAGCACCTTCCCCAGGAGTCAGCTGGAAAGCTTCAATTTCCAAGGGTTTTACCTAGTTAAGGATTATAATCTTTAACAGCTGCCTGATTTACTCAGCTCATTCCCTGGGAGATGCTGACACCGTCAAACACCGTCTTGCTCCTTCTGCCATCACTTCTCCAAGAATTATGCATTTATGGGAATGAGAATATTTGAAGGAGACCTCTAAAAAAATAAAACCCTGCCCCTGCCGCTGGTCAATAAGGAGGTGGGAGCTTTCTTGCCATAAATCCATGAGCTTTGCTTGCCAGATTAGTGTTCGCCAGATAAATTTGGCACTGAGAGTCCTGTATAATTAGGAAAAGAAAAAAAAAAAACAAACCAAAAAAACCCAAACCAGCAGAAATGCTTGTGGGAATGTGTCAGTTTGCTGGCTGGGAGGACAACAGGGGAAGTTTAGTCTGCTGCAAAGGGTCAGCATTGCCAGGGGGTCAGCATTGCCGGGGCTTGGCATCCCTTCCCAGCCTGTCCCGTGCTGGAGCTGGGTTCTATCCCCATCAGAAAAGCCGCTCAAGCCTTCCCTGAGTGCCTGACCCAGAGTTCAGATCATTCTCAGAGGTGCCAGAGTGGGAAAAAGGCCTTTTCTGCTTGGAGAGTAGGATTTTTCCTGCCAGATTCAGCAAGAACCATGGTTATCGCAGTGTCGGCGCCGGGAGAGGTGTTGGAGAAAAGCAGGGAGAGGGTCTGGGGTCTGCCATTCCTGCTCCACGTCAGCATCTTGTTTTACATCCCCCAGCCCAAGTGAACGTTCCCATTTTCCCAGGCACAGCAGAGCCCTTCCCAGTTTATTTCTCCTCCCAGTAGAGGTTTCCTGCAGGACATGTGTTATCAATTAGGTCCATTCAATGTACGTCTGGTTTTGCTTTTGTCTCCTGGCAAAGGCCAGTAATTAGAATTATTATTAACAGTAATGGCAATTTTATATATATATATATATATATATATAAAGCAAGGCAGCATCCCAGTCTTAGGGAGCTGATCCACAGCCACGTCAAAGCCCTGGACCAGATCAAAAAATGAGGCAGGAGCATTTCCCTCACTTTTGATAGTTTCTCGCCATTATTGCACTCCAGGTAATCCTTATTTTTAATCTTTTTTTTTTCCAAACTTCTTGATTTTCAGCATAGGGCAAATGAAAACAAGCAGATTTGCAGCCAGTCCCAGAGGCAGGATTGAGTTTTAGGTTCCTAAAGGCATTTGGTGTGATCTGCCCGAGCCATCTCCAGTCCTCCAGCTCAGCCAGGGATGGGTTTGGACCACAATGGAGACTCCTGGGCATGACTTCTCGGCCTGAGGGGATGAATTTTATGCTCATTGCTCTATTAGACCATTCTCCACCTTCATTTCCCTTGTTGGTTTTAACCCCAGTTTAACAGCAGCAAAGCTGAGGTTTTGAAGTTCCAGGTTTTCTCCACGTTTAGGATGGATGAAGGATTCAGGTGAAGATTCAGTGTTCCCCAAAGAGAAATGCAAGCAGCTCAGCCTTTTATTAGATATCAGAGAATCCAAAGAAGTTGGATTCTGCCACAGTGAAGATTCCCCTCCCCACAGTGAAGGGAAGCAACACACAAAAACTTTCAGTGCTGGAAAACAAGGAACCCTGAGAACCACCAATGGGGGCATCTCATGACGCTGGGAAAAGCCACCCCTTCCGCAGTGACACAGCATATGACGCTCCATGTCATTCTTCTTGTACCAGGAGCCTATTCCTGTGGTTTCAGGCCTAATATGGATGCAGAACATCACCTGTGTCATCTACTTGCTGCCAGGTGTCAGTGTTTGTCTCGGTCCCATTAAGTCACCATCAGCTTTCCCTGTCTAAACCAGCCTTCCCTTTGAGTAGGTGTTTCTGGCACCGGGGTTGAGGACTTTTCCTTTCTTTTCAGGTAAATGCTTGGGGCTTGGCGTTTTTTTGTCTCTCTGAGAGATTTTTAAGGGCATCTGGTTAAAAATGTGGCTGTCACCTGGTACTGGAGGAGCAAGGTGATGGTTTTAACTTGGTTTTCGGCTCCTGAATAGATACATGAGTGGAAAGCTATGGCTGTGCTGGGTGGAAATCTCCTGCTCTGTTCCCAGTAAAGCTGTTTGCAGTATGGGATATATTGGGGCTGAAAATGAGCTTTATTGTGGGGGAAGGCACAGGCAATGAATCCCTGTAGGAGCTGGTGAGGGGGAAGGTGCTCAGTCGTGTCTGTTGTGTTTGCTTCTTTATAATGAGATATTAGGGAGAAATTCTTCCCTGTGAGGGTGGGGAGGCCCTGGCACAGGTTGCCCAGAGAAGCTGTGGCTGCCCCATCCCTGGAAGTGTCCAAGGCCAGGTTGGACGGGGCTTGGAACAATCTGGTCTAGTGGAAGGTGTCCCTGCCATGGCAGTGGGTGGAACGAGATGATCTTTTAGTTCACTTCCATCCCAAACCAGTCTGTGATAATGGAAAGCAAAGTGAGCTTGCCCCCCAATAAAACACATGAAATTTGCCAAATCATTACAACATAACAGAGAAATAAGTTGCATTTGCTGGGAGAAAATAAAATCCCAGGCAATCTGCTGAGAGCTGGAGGGGGTGACATCAGGCAGCCCTGAGCTGATGTGTCCCAGTAAAAGGAAGGGCCCCAGGGGAACAGGGAAAGAGGGTGTGCTGGGAATTTCAAGAGGAACACACAGCCATGGTTGTTCCAGGATGTGAGAGTGCTGTTCCAGATTACATCAATCCTTTTAACTCTGTATTCTCTGACAAAAGAACATCCCGATTTCAGCAAACCAGCCTTGTTCATTTAACATGCTGCTGTTGGTGACCCTTGGGGCTCACAGGGACTGATCCACCTCTGGGACCCTTCAGCTTGGGTTTCTTTTTTACCAACAACAAGTCCTATAGCAGAACGAAGTCAGAATAAACCTGTTGGGCTTTCAAAGGTGTTGTTTTGTTCTTCAATTAATGAGCCGAGGCTTTAAAAGGTTGGGTTCACAATAAGACTTGAAATGCTCTGCATCCACCAAATAATAACTTTGGCAGGACCATGTGCCACTGGGAAGCAGGTGTAATTTTAAATACAGTTTTATTTCAGGTTGCTATTGATGCACAAACAGCAGAGATCAAGGTTCAGTATACATGGTATACACAAAGCAGCCAGTTCCATTGGCATCTCTGTCCTTTTACTGCACTCTCAGCAAAAGAACCTCACACAAGGAATTCCTGCCCTCCCCGGGATCAAGGGTGACAATTGCTTGGTGGCTTGGAAACCAGCTGTGGGATGGCAAGACACTAAAGTGCAGCTCCTCAGAGCTCTGTCCCCAAAGGAAAGCATGGCAGGCTCGGCGGGAAAATCCTCCAAAAATGGATGGTATGTTCACGGGAATGGAGACCTGGGAGGGATTTCCTAAAAATGTTAAATCCTCTTCCCTGCTGTGCAGAGCAACCACAACATCTGCTCCTGGCTCTGTGGAGCAGTGTGGAGACACAAAATATTATTGTGTTGAAAAAGGAATTACATCAATCCAGGGAGGATGAGCCCACAAACATTGTCGTGTGCAGTTTGCGAAGCCAGTGGAAAGATCTGGCAAGGGAACCTTCATGGCACCACTATCCTGATTGTTGTCATCCTTCTTATCTTGCCCACAGCTGGAGACCTTTGGGAGCCAACCAAGGGGCATTTCCATGCTGTATCTCAATGGGACTGAGCAAGCAAGGTAAGCTCCAAGCCTTTACCTGCTGAGACAGCATCTTCTGCCTACCCAAAATCTGTGTCTCATCCATAAAATCCCTTTCTGATGATCCCAAAACTGTGTAGGTCAACCCAGATGCTCTGGCTTGCTCCCAGTCACAGCTAATTTAATTAAGAAGCACCTTCATCAGCGATGAAGCAAAAAATTAAATGGTCCCTGCTTGTTTCATCTTAGCAAGAGACTTAAATAATGGTTAAACAGTTTTTGGAGGGAGGTAAAACAGCCTCTGACCACAATGGGCACAACACTATATAACCACCAGAGGTACAGAATAACCACTTGCACAAGACTCTGGAGTGAGAAACTGGTTGTAGATGCTTTGCAGCAGCAAGAGGCTCAACATTCCCTCTTTTCCTGCACTCCTGAACTCTACTGAGTCCCTTTTTCCCCAGGAGGGCCTGAAACCCAAATTAATCTTCCCTTTCTGCAGCTCAAAAGCAATGCCAGGCAGTCACCCCAGCTCTGCTAGAGCTCAGGATATCTCAGGGAGGCTTAACACAGAGGAAAAACATCCCAACCTGGCCCAAAGGTCAGAGGGCAGTGGGATGTCTGGGCATGGCATACTGGTCTCATTAAGCATCAAGCACCATTTCCAGAGCGGAATGAAGCACCAGTGACTGCTGGGGCTGTGTCTGACCCTGTGGGACTACAGTACAGTTGCTTGTTGATTTTTTACAATGACAGCTCAAACCTCAGGTCCACAGTGATCCCTTTTAACCCTGAAAGCCTTCAGGTGGGCAGGTTACAAACTGCCCTGGACTGGGGTATCAAGGAGCATCCGGATGCTCACAGAGCCCCATCCCAAAGCACCTTAGAAAACCCTCAGGCAGGTGAGATCCCACTGGGAATAACACCGGCCCTGCTACGCAAGGTTTACATCCATCAGGAGACGAGGAAGGAGGTTAAAGGAATACAGAGTTAAGCACCATAAAATTTACACTGGTCAGGTCATAAACATGACGAGAGAACAAAAATAAAGCCACCACCTTCCAGCCTGGCCTGGGGATGCTGCTGGGACCACAAAGTCACCACCAGCGAGCCCTGGAGGCCTCAGTCCCAGCACCTTGTCAGTCATTGCATTGGTAAAATCCTTTTGATCCCGCTTAGCACGAGTGTTGGGGGAGTCAGGGGAGAGGGGAGGTAGGCTTGGCCCTGGGAAGGTGGGGAGAGGCTTCAACTGTGCAATTTAGGGGCATCTCCCTGCCTGTACATAGATCCATCTCTGGCAGTGATGATGCTCCTCGTTTCCATCTGTCCCCCCCAACTCCCATTGCCTCCACTGGTGGTTTCCATGTCAATCAGTGGCTTCGAGGTAGATGTTCATTCCCGCTCTGTCTCTGAGAGACTTGGTTGGCAAAAGCCCTCTCTCCCAGGTGCGTGGGGTGTCCCAACACCCAGCTCCCTTTTTTGTCCCTGTTTTTTCTTACTTTTCCCCCCATTTGCTATGTGCTGTGGACATCTCCCCATCTCCCAACCCCTGGCTGCTGCTCAGCTGCACCCAGCTAGAGGAACACCACGCCCTTCCTCGCAGACACCCCTTGACCTGCTCAGCACGGCCTCAAGGTGCAGAAATCCAGCTCCTGCGGCTTCCTCCGAAAATTGCAACTCTCCCGGGGTAGGAGGCGCCCGGTCGGGACCAAACATTTCAACGCCCGTCTCTTGAAGCCCCGGCCGCAGCTCTTGGAGCAGGGAGACCAAGGTCCAGCTTCCCAGGCCGGGCAGGGCTCCCCACAGAGCCGGACGTCAGGGGGTCTCTGCGCCACGTCACACTCAGCAGCCGGTTGCCCATAGGAATCACGACAGGCCACCGAGCGCTTCTGCAGCCCATCGCCGCAGGTGACAGAACAGGCTTCCCAACCACCCGCCGCCCACTTGTAGGAGGGACGTTTGTAGCTCGGTCTCCCGCCGTCCAGGCGGTTGGACAGGCTGAGCACACTGTTGTTGAGGTCTGGCGGGGTCTTGCCCTCCTTCTTGTAGGAGGCCTTGTCCTCCTTGCTCTCCTTGGGGAGGTAGAAGGAGTAGCGTACCCGAGGAGGGGTCATCTTCCCCACGGAGAGCACCTCCAGAGTCAGGGGTTCCTGGATGGGCTTGAAGGCTTGGAGGCTCTCAACGGCGGTGCCGGTGCCGCTGTAGCGCAGGACGCTGCCCTTCACCATCAGGTCCCTCTCCACGGCCGAGACAATGAAGTGGCCGTTCAGGAGGTACTTGCCCTGCGCATTCTTCAGAGCCAGGTAGTTGTCATCGCTGATCAGCCCTTTGTAACCCCGCTGCCGGATGTCGATGTTGGAGGCACCTGCAGGGATGACCACCACGAAGTTGTACCCATGCCTGGAAGAGAAGAGCAGTCAGGGCAGGACATCAGGGACATCATGCTACCACATGACCTCAGCCCCCTGCAGCTACAGCCCTGAGATCCTCCCACCCCTACAGTTGTCTCCTCCTTCCCATGAAGGCCATTTTGAATCTCCTCCCTACACCGAGTTTTGTCAAGGCTGATGTTGCACAGATACAAGGAAGAGGCTTCAGCTCAACAGTTCCAGGGATTAACTCCATCATCAGGAGCCAATAGCACATTTAATGTGTCCTGCTTCTCCTTCAGAGCCAGCCCAGGTCTCCATGCACATGAGCATCAGCAGATTTTACTTGGGATGGACTTATCCCCTATCACCCTCTCCATGACCTTCCTGCACCACCCCTAAAAGCACAGCTGGGTGTAGGGTAAGCACATGTGGTCACCAAACACTCACATGGGTTTGGTGAACAAGCCTGAGACTTTCTTGCAGCTCTTGTTGTCTCCTCCACAGACACTGCATTTGTCGAACTTCTTCTTGGAGCCCAACTTCCCGTCACAGCCCGCCTTGATGCATTTGCCCTGGACACAGACTGAGGTGGAGTCCGGGGAGCAAGGGGTACCATCCACAACCTGCACCAGGGTGAGCAAATCAAGCTGCTTCATTTCCCTCTGACACCCCCGAAACTCCCCCAGAGGTGGCCGTCCAACCCCAACACATCCAACAGGTCTGAGAAGATGCCAGCAGGCACCACGTCACCCTTTGCTCACAGGCTCTGTTTTTCAGTCAGGATTTTTGGGGTCTCTGAGAAGAGATGGATGAGGCTACATCCCTTTTCTGCTCTGCCTACAGAATTTCCTGTCCTTTCCGTTGCAGGGACACCATAACATCACTCCACTCAGACCCACGTCTGGATGCCCACCCTGTCCCGCACATCGCTTCCCCAGCACCATAATTATCAACCTCTATTCCAGGACTGTGGGAATATCCCAGAGGCACCTTTACAAAACCAGAGAAAGACCCTCTATGGATCAACTCCAGCCCTGAGGTAAAGCAGACACATACAGTTGATTCATAGCAGCCTGGTGGATTCCCCTCCTCTACCACCTCATCTAACACCATCCACCCACCAGACAAAGAAAATTCATTCTTTTCCAGACACACTGGAGTCATCCCACAGCCCAGGTGCTGACCCTGGGGGTTTCTCACCTACCTTGGGTGCCAGCACGTAGAAGTAGCCGGTGCCATTAGCCCGGCAGATGAGCTTGCACTTATCCCGGGGTGAGACTCCGGAGTATTTGGGGACCCAGGAGACAGAGGCAGTGAGGCGGTTGGTGCTGTGACTGTAGCCATTGAAAGCCTCACATTGCTCCTCACGGAAGCTCTTCCCTGGCACTGGAAAAAATAGGGATGTGGGGTTGAGTACCAGCCTGGACCTCCAGCTCCGGTTTTACGTGGTTGTCACAGCTCAAGCTGAGCTCCAGCCCCTTACCTGCAGCAGGGCAGGGCTCCAGGTTGCAGGAGCGGTACTTGACGCGGATTCCCTCGCAGTAGGAGCCCCCATTGGCCGGCACTGGGTCAGTGCATTCCCGCTTTGCCAGCTGCACCCCACCGCCGCACGTCCGGGAACACTGCCCGTAGGGAGCCCACTTGGCCCAGCCGCCGTCCACCTGAGGGGATACAGGGGATGAGATGCTGCATCCCCTTCACCATCTCCATCCCTTCACCAGCAAAACCTCCAGCTGCCCCCAAACCTGCCCAGGGCTGGCTGGAGCAGAGCAGCATCATCACTCTTTGAGAAATACCACAGAATCCCAGAATGTGCTGAGTTGGAAGGCACCCACAAGCATCATCGAGTCCAACCCTCAGCCCTCCACAGGCTCATCCCCAAGAGTCACACCCTGTGCCCCAGAGGATCATCCAAACACTCCTGGAGTTCCGGCAGCCTTGGGGCCATGACCACGGCCCTGGGGAGCCTGGTCAGTGCCCAACCAGCCTCTGGGGGAAGAACCTTTTTCTAAGATCCCACCTAAGCCTGCCCTGACACAACTCCAGGCCAATTCCTTGGGGTCCTGTCACTGGTCACACAGAGCAGAGCTCAGTGCCTGCCCCTCCTCTGCCCCTCCCCGGGAAGTTGTAACTGCAATGAGGTCTCCCCTCAATCTCCTCTTCTCCAGCTGAACAGACCAAGTGCCCTCAGCTGCTCCTCACACGGCTTCCCCTCATGGCCCTTCTCCATCTTTGGACACTCTCTAATGGCTTAATATCTTTCTTATATTCCAGTGCCCAAAACTGCCATAGTATTCAAGGTGAGGCCGCACAGAGGATGTCCAGTTTGTCCCACATCAGTCACCTCATGCTGGGTTCCCAGCACCAGGAGTGTCTGGGGGAGTGGGGGACTTGCTCAGCCAGCACCCACTTGGAGCGATCCCATGGGATGTTTTTGGGGCTCCCAGCCCAGGTACTCACCCTGTACTTGCTGATGTTGTGCCTCTCCACGCAGGCTCCCTTCAGGCAGAAGCGCCCATCGCCACAGCCAGTGCCGTCGGCCCAGGGGAAGTGCCGGGTCTGGCACACGATCTGCCCACGTGCCTTACCCGTGCACCAGAGCTTGGCACAGTACTGCATGTAGGGGCAGGGCTTGGAGCCCACCCCGAAGGCCAGCTCACACTGCTGGTTCAGGCTGTAGCTTGTCCCCGGCAGGTCTTCGGGCAGTGGGATAGGTTTGGTGGGCTGGTCCAGCAAGCAGTCCCCTGCAGGAATGGAGGGGGAGAGAGGGTCTACCAGGTCCTGGGGGAGTTGTATGGACCAGTGTGGGGAGGGAAAGTGAGGGATGGCTGCTGGAAATTTGGCCAAAGCTATCCAGGTGCTACCCCAGGGATACCCGTGAGGTCAGCTGCGTCCCAGACCCACGTGACTTCATCTCCTGGTGATGCTGTAGAGCTGTGCCAGCAGCCTCAGCACAGACGTCACTGCTGAAGGCACCCCAGCACCTAGGAAACCTGGATGTTACAGAAATGCTGCCAAACTCCCCCTTTCCTTCTGAGTTTGTTTGCAGAGCCAGGAGAAGAACTGCTCTACAGCCCCCCATGTCTCCCAGTAAACACGCCCAGGGATAGACCCTGCTCCCACAGGGCAGAGACACAGGTAAGAGGACGAGGGGCACAGGAGAGCTCACCGTGGCCGCTGTCAAGGAAGTCAGTGATGATGGCAGCACTGCAGGCTGACCAGGGGTTGGCCCGGTCGATCTGGATGAGGGTGGGGGACATCATGTGGTTGGTCTTCAGCCGGCCAAAGACCTCCTCACAGGCCTTCACATTGTCATGGGGCATGTTGAAGACGTGGCCTGGGGTTGCACAAAGGGGGCAGCATGAATAACCGTGCAGGCCAGGCAGAGCAGGGCCCCCACAGCTTCCTGCAACGGGGGAAACTGAGGCACAGAGTGGGGCAGACCCTTGAAAGGATTACAATGGCTGTAGGCAGCCCAGGAGAGCCAGTGAGCTTTCCAGTTCTTTCCCAGATGCTTCATGCATGAGGAAAGCACTCAGGAAAGGAAGGACAAGGGAAATTGCGAAAAGAAGGTGACTTCAGCACTCTCCTCCCTCCCTCCTCCTCCTCCTCCTCCAGCTGTGCCCTCTGCCTGTTATTTCAGGACTCCTGAATCCTGGAAACCCACTGTGGTAGCAACCACAACAGCAAAGCCTTTTGCTTCCTCAGCTACCCTTTCCCACCTGGCTTGGGTGCAGTCTCATGCCCCGAGGTGGAGTTCCCCAATCACTCAACACCGGTCATTGTCTCATCTTCCAGAAGATGAAACCAGGGTTATTTTGAGCCCTGCCAGCTCCTGGAATTCTTCGCAAGAAGGAGAGGAGAGCAGGGAGCCTTACCCAACTCATGGGCGGTGGTGAAAGCCGAGGGCAGCCCGTCGTCCTCGATGACGGAGCAGCTGCGCTTGGGGTCACACATGGTGCCCACATCTGCCATCCCCAGAGTGTCACAGGTGGTGGCACCACATAGGTCCTGCCAGGCACAAAGGGTAGAGGTTAGTTATGAGGACAGCACAGGTACTACAGTTCCCCATCCGTACCCTATCCCTGGTACCCCAAGGGGAGCTGCTGAGGGGGAGAAAGCACAAAGGGACGGGAATCACACCAGGATGCAGAGGCAGGAAATTTGAATCCTGACCCAGACCAGGCTGCAACGGTGTGTTTGTATTTAACCCTGGCACTAGGGATGTGTCTAGCATCCTGCTGTGCCTTCAGCAACAGCTTTTCCCACCCAAACAGTTCCTCCAGCCAGGGTGGAGCTGGTTTCAGCATGGAGAAGTCAGTCTGGCTCCCATCTTCTTAAGTGTGAGCTCAAGGACCAGACCCAGGTGAGTGGATGGGAATACATCTGGCCTTGGACCCACAGCTGACCCACTTCTCAACCTCATTTCTCAACTTTTTCCTAGGAAGAAGAAGCCACTGGTCCAGGGCCAGAGGTTTCCAAGGCTAAAGGAAGCGCTTCTGCCTCTCCAAGACACTCCACAGCCATCCCTCAAGGAGCAAGCAAGAGGAATCAGCCCAGCCTTCCACCCCCAAACTGAGGACAGCCTGACCCCACACAGATGCTGCCAGGAGAGAGGATGGAAAGGATCTCATTGTAGGTGAATCTGCCCTTCTCCAGGATCCAAAGGTGCTTGTGCAAATAAAAAGTCCATTTAAGACACACTGTTGCTGCAGCTTGGTAATAACCTTGCCCTCAGGTGCTCCCCTCCCCTGCTGGGGTGCATCAGTGTTTTGAGAGGGCTAGAGCACCATCCCCATCCCTCAGTCCTGTCCCAGAGCTGCTGGGGAGGCTACACGGGCTGCAGGGAGCTGCTTTCCACATGAAAAGAAAACGTAGGGGACTCAAGGGGCGCTTCCATGCTATAAATAAGCGTGATTCATGCTCAACACTCGCCCAGCCAAAGAGTGTTTGCTGTTCAAAATCCTGCAGGAGCTGCTCTGCCAACATTTCCAGCAAGGTTTCCAAGCTGAAAGGCATTCCCGTGCAGGCAGGTTCAGCTGCGGGTAAATAACAGTCCTGATGACTTCAGAGAGCCCCGGCCAGGGCTGAGATGGCTTTAGCAGGAGACCTGAGGCACAGGCAAGACCGTGATCTTCAGAGAGGTGAAGAAATGTCTGAGTCTGGGCTGGTGGTGGAACACTCTGTCATACAAATGGGTTCAGCACTTTGCTCTGCAACACTTTCCCCATCAGCTGGGACCCTGCTGCATCCCTGATCCCACTCCCTGCCTCAATGCTGGCAGGGACAAGCAGGTCCAACCCCACAGCCCCATACAGGGCCACCACCAATGGGCATGGGGTAATTAATGGTGCTGACAAGCCCAGGCACAGGGTCCCCAGTCCCAAAACACCACCAAGAGCCAGTACCATCACCATGCTGAGCTAACCCAGGGATGCAGCTGGCCCAGGCCCCCCCGCCCATGCTCTCCCCAGCGCTGATGTTTGGGGGCAAGGAAGGTGCGTGGGGAGGGATGACAGAGCATCACAGGGACAAGGTGGCCGCTCTTTGAAGAGTTCCCTCACAGGCACAGCGAGATTTTGGCTCCCAGCCTAACACCTGCACTGACACAGTGACCCACTTCTGGCTCTGAACCTCATCAGCCAGGATACACGACAAGCAGCTCTTCACCAGGTTTTCCCTGATTCCCCCACCACGACCCCCTTGGGGCAGCCAAGGGATGGCAGGCAGCATCTCTGGGCTTTAATGAGGGGTGCTGACCCCCCTAAAACACCTCCTCCAGCCTTGCTGGGCATAAGCCTGCTCAGGAGGAGAGGCAATGCAAGGATGGAGCTACAGAGGGGAGGAGAGAGAACTGGAAGAGGTTTAAGGCAGGAAAGCAGTGTGCAGAGGGCCGGCTCTGCCTTTGCTCACCATCACCGATATCCCCTGCTGCCAGCACAGACACGAGGAGGATGCTCAGTGCCCCAAAGGGCTGCAGACAACCTGCCGAATGCACCATCAGCACTCTCCTGACAGCCTGACCCTTCCTCTGTGGGACTTTCCAAGGCTTTTCCTCATCCCTTGTGAACTTCAAGATGTTCTCCAAGTCAGTTGGGGGGATCCTTGTGGCATGTGCATTAATTCACCTACTCAGAGACCAGCTCATAAGCTCTCTCTCCCTTCCTTGGAGGCTTCCTGTGGGCATCCAAAGCAACTCCAAAAAGCTGAGCCTTGAGCTACAGCATTTCCAAACTCCCCTGCAGCATCTGCTACACTGCAGTTCCTTCATGCAGCACCCCTTCGGTTTTACAGCACAGCAAAGATGTTCAGCAAACATCTGTTGGTCCAGGATGTGTGGGAAGAATGGCTGAGCTCTCTGCTGTGCTGTGCAAGAATATATCCAAGAGGCAGGAGGGCAGCTGAAGGCTGGATGCTCTGCAGGACCCTCCAACAGCACCAACTCAGGTGGCTCTGCACCCACGAGTTGATCAGGACAGAGCTCCCCAAAGGCAAATCCACCATCCAGCACGACTGACGTTGGGAGGGAGCAAAGCCAAGCAGGAAAGGACAGCCCCATTCATCAGCAACTTGTTGACATAACTGGAAACTGCCTATCAACTGGGCTGGAGGTGAAATTTGAGTCAGGGGCTTATGTAACAGCTTTTTGGCAGGGAGATAAGCTTCAAGGTTTCAGGGGACCACAGATGGACGCACTCAAGAAAGGCAGATGTCTCATGGATCGTGTGCCTGTGCACGGAGCTTGCTTTGGGATTTCAAGAATGGCTGGTTTAGCAATGTGTAAAAAATGCAGCCCAGCCATGATCGACAGCTTTTGGATCACTGGGACCGGCTCTGTCCCACGTGTGGCTCTGGTGACCTCACCAGGTTCCCACCAGAGATGGAGCTGGCTCATCCCTGCAGGGCTGTTAGCAGTGTCCACTTCTTCAAGCCTCCCCATGTAGGCAGGAGCTGCTCCAGCAGCCCGGGCTTCAATCCTGCCTGTGCTCCTGCAGGATTCACAGCTGGCCCAGGGCAGGGGGACAAGAGGAGGGGAAGGACAAGGTCTTGCACGTCCTGCACAGCATCACTCGTGCTCCAGGCCATTGTCAGCCTACGCTGACCTCAGCCTAGGGACAGCTGAACTGAGCTGGATGTTATATCCTTCCCACCCAAAAGTGTTTGACCTGCAAAGATGTATGGGGAATGGTCTCCCTGCCTTTGAGGGGAGTGCCTGACCTGTCCCTAATCCAAAAACATCTTGGCAGGGCTAGTGAAAGGAGAAGAAGCCTTTGCTGCCAAAGCCTGCTGCAGCCAGGGTAGGATGTTACTGTCCTCTCCAAGCTGGGCTCATCCTCCTCCCATCCCATCAGTGATTTCAGGATGCAGACACTGAATTGATGTCCATGCTGGGACAGGACCACAAGGAAGGAGGAGCATTGGAAGTAGGTTGTTGGAGCAGTATCACCCAGTTTGTGGGGGTGGGAGGAGGCAGAGTTCATCCCACACCCCACGTTGCCTGCAGAGCCTGTGCCAAAAGAAGCTCAAAGCCCCTCTCCCTCCACAAGGATGTGTCCAGCCCACAGCAGACGTGGGGGAAGCTTTCCCCCGTCCCCCCTCCCCGATGGCTGTAGCACTGGCTGAATCTCTGGTGCTTCACTTCCAGCCCTGAACCAGGTCCATGCAGCGCAGCCAGTGTGGAGGAGAGCTCCAGGTTCTCAGGAGGACCTCATGCATGAGTCAGAGGAAGCAGGGAGAGGTATTTTTCTTGGCAGGTGGCACCAGAAGCTCTTCCCAGCTGGGGAGGGGGAAGCGGGGCCATGTTCCTCCTCTTCTGGGTTCAGACCCCTCATTTCAGGGTGGTGGCTGCTGGAAGCCAGAGCTGCAGGGTGCTGGCTGCCAGGAGACAGGGGATGAAGCAGAAGGTTTCTCCCCATGGGGCAACCTGTCTTTAGGCACCTCCTGGCCTCATTCACCCCCTGGCAGGGATTGTTCCAGACTGCTGGCCAAAACCTGCCCAGGGGACAGCAAGGGCTGGCTCCATGCCTCTGCTCCACCCCACCACGGCACCTGAGAGTGGGGGTTCCCTTGGGAAAGGGGAATCGGCCAGAAGCACAACCTCCTCCATCATGCACCACCACAGAGGTGGGGTGCAGATGGCAGAACGCCTTAGCACAGTGCAGGGCTCCTTGAAATGGGGGACAGTTCCTCCGGACCACCCCCCTGCACCCACCTGCTTGGTGAAGAGGATGGCGGTGTCCCAGTACTCGGGGTGCTTGTCGCTGACCTTGTTCCACTTCTTCTGCCAGGCACAGAAGTTGCGGAGGGTAAGGGCAGCGTTGCTGGTGACCTTGGGCCCCTTGTCATCCTGCCCAATGAGGAGGAACTTGACCACGGAGATCTGAATGGGGTTACGGATGCTGGGGTGCTTGTAGAGGCGGGCGGCAGTGGCCATGAGGGTGAGCAGGTAGTGCTGGAGGTCATCCCCGTGGAACTTCACCATCGACTCGTCAGCCACCACCAACGTCTCCACGTAACGTGGCACCGAGGCAAAGCGCTTGGCCCGACCCCCTTTCCCCCCCGCACGCCCTCGGTACTTGTCGAGCGCCTGCAGCACGCCAGGTGTGAGCCCGGAGCCCACGGCGCACCGGGATGCTCCAGCCCCGACGGGGCGGCCGGGGCTGCGGCGCTGCAGGTGATGGACTCCTCCGGCCGCCCCCCCCGCCAGCGGGCTGATGAGGTACTCGGCTCCCCGGTAGCCGAAGGCCCCCCGGAGCCCCCCGCAAAGGCTGAGGGCGGCGAAGGACTCGCGGTCGGCGTTGACATCCCCTGAATAGAAGCAGTGGCGGAGAGCGGGGAGGGGCCGGCCGGCCGCCCCCAAGTAGTGAGCGGCGAAGGAGGGCGCGATGAAACGGGCGTCGGGGGAGAGGTGGAGGTAGAAATCCTCCCCGAAAGCCGAGAGCTGGATCACCACTGCCTGCCCTCCCCGGGGGGGCTCGGCCGGCCCCCCCCCTGAAATAAGCCGGCCCGTTGATGTCGGGGTCCAGGCGGAGAGGGGTGACCAGCGCGGTGTCGGGGTCTGGGGGTCCCCCCGAGGGCAGGCTCAGCCCCGGGGCGCCCAACAGCAGCAGCGGCAGCAGCGGCAGCATCGTCCCGGCGGGCTCAGGCCGGCGGCATCGGGGTTCGGGGGAGGCGCGGGGGGAGAAAGCAGGACCCGGCCCCCCCCCTTCCTCCCTCCTCTTCCTCCTGGACCCGCAGAGGCTGGAGGGAGCGGAGCGACCCCGCCAGTACCTGCCTTGCGGGGCGCACCGGGGTTTTATAGTGCGGGAGCGGGGGGAGCGGGGCGCGGCTTGGCCCCGCCGCAGCCACTCCGGGGCGGGGGGCTGGGAGCGGAGCCGAGCGGGGCCGAGCGGGGCCGCCGGAGAAGCCGACCGGGGCCGGGACAGGACCGCGCTCCGCCCGGGGCTGCCACCGCCTCCCCGGGGCGGAGCGGCGGGGGGGCGGCACCGCCGGGGGGGTGTGGAATGGTGGGAGAGGGTGGGGTGGGGATTGGGTGGGATGGGATGGGGGCTCGAGATGGGGTGGATAGGGGGTGTGATGGGATGAGGGGAGATAGCGTGGGTGGTGGGATGGAATGGAATTAGGTGGGATGGGGGGCGCGGATGGGGTGAGATGCGATGGGGGGCTGGGGTGAGATGGGATGGGGGGGTAGGATGGAATAGGTTGGAACGGAGTGGAATGGGATGGGGTTGGGTGGAATGCTATGAAGGCTCGAGATGGTGTAGGGTAGGGGTGGGATGAGATGGGGTGGATAGTGGGATGGAATAGAATGAGATGGGATGGGGGGTGGAATGTGGGAGGGTGGGAATGGGATAGGACTGGGGGAGGTGGGATCAGGAGGGCTGGGCAATAGGATGGGATAGAGGGAGACCCTCTTCACTTTTATTCCTGCAGCTTAGAGGGGAACTCTGCAGCTCCCCAGGGATACTCCCACCTGCCACTCTCCCTCCTGCCACTCTGGTTGTTCTGGGTCCTGCTCTAAGCGATGGGAGAGGATGGAGCTCTGTGACCCCCCGCGGGGGGGGGGACAGGGAGGGGTACTCTGGTTGCAACAGGGGCGTGCAGGGAAGATGAAATGTCAGAGAATCATTGAATCATGGAATAGTTTGGGTTGGAAAAGGACCTTTAAAGGTCAGCTAGTCCAGCCCCCCATCCTCTGCTTCGTGCTGGTATTTGGGACGGTTCAGTATAGTGGAGGACCTGCTGTTTGGAAGCAGAGGGCTTAGTTCCCAGATTTATTTGGGAAGATATTAACATATGTTTTTCACAGCCTGGGTGATTTAGCAATGAGGGCTGGGCTGTGTCCCTCCATGCACCTCCAGACTTGCCAGCCCAGCTAAATGGTCCCGGTCTACAGATCAGGGGGATCCCAGAACTCTTCTTCCAAGGGAACCAGCTTTCATTGCATCCTTTGCTACTCCACCCCAGTCCCATTCAGTGGCTCTAGCTGAGGAGCAAAGGTTATTTCCACTTCCGAGGAAGAGCTCAGCCTCCCTTCATCCCCAGGGTCACCAAAGGGAGCACTCCAGAAGTGTTAACACCTGCAATATCCTCTCCTCTGAGACACCCCATGGAGTACATGGGAATTTCCCTACGCCCACCAGAGTGATCACCAGAACAGTGTCTGGAGGATGCTGGGGCAGCTGATGCTCTTGGGAGGTATAAAGATGTCACCATGGGTAGGATTTCTGGAGGCAGGACAGTTAAAAGAAGAGCAATGAAGAGTCCTCAGCAACCATCCATGGCTGAGGAACAGATTTATCAGCACCAATAACCCCCACAGGTTGGTTTAATGATAAAAGTAAGGCCTTTCATGGATAGGCTGGCTTTGATGTGATTTCAAGCCCCAGCAAAGGCTGCAGGCACAGCTTAGGAATGTGTGCATGTATGAAATAAAAGCCAAGGCTGTTGCCTAAGAGGCAGAGCCCACAGCCTGGCTCGTTTTGATGCCAACACGTCCCCGTGCTGTGGTTTGCTTGGTCGTGTGCCTTGCAGCTGAACTTGTGACCCCAAATAACCATCTGACTGCACTGTGCTGAGGGAATCAGGGATTTTGTCTGCTGGCCAAAGTGCAACATGGTCAGGGATGTGGATAAGATCACAAAGAGAAAATGGGCAGCACAGGGAGCAGAGGGGAAAGGGGAGAGGGACCCAACCTTGAGCATCCTGAGGTGCCAGGAGGGAACTTCTTCCCATGGCATTGCCCTGTTCAACAGCATGAGTTTATCCAGAGACAACAGCAGCATACAGGATGGCACATGGTCCCAGAGGTGCCACCAGGTACCTCAGCCTAGAGGTCATCAAGCCAGAGCTAGTCATTGCTGCCCTGGAGCTCCAGCCCCTCCATCTGGGACATCTCCAGCAGCAGAGGATGAGTCAAAGTGAACTGGCAGGACTTCATCTCCAGCCTGGAGAACATCTGATTGCCTCCTGATGGGGAAAGGCAGGCAGAAAATGCAAGTGGTTTGGCTGTGCCTGAGCTGAGACCCATTCCATCCTATCAGGCACAGGACTCACTGTGTCCCATGACACTGACACTGTGCCAGCATCCTTGGAGTGGAAGTGTAGGGATGGATCAGCTGCTCCATCACAGCCTCCCCAGTCCTCACTGTCTCTCTGAGCAGCTGGGAATCACCTACCCCAAGGTAGGTTGCTTTGTTTCCAAACCAAACCATCTGGTGCTTCATTTTCCTGCCCACGGTGAGTAGAAAAGCTGAGGAAGAATATTGCTCACCCTTTCCAGGCAGCTCCAGGGGGTACAGGAATGTCTTGGAGCACTCCAGACCAGAAGGGAGGCACATTTTTATTTTATTTTTTCTCTAGCTCAAGGATGTGATGTGATTTTTTTTTCTTTGAGGACCAACCAGCAGTTGTTTGCACCCCACAGCCCTTTACACCTTCAGGAAGGAGCTGGTCCAAGGTGGCACCTTGGTGTCACTCCATGTGGCTTTCCAGGTGCTCGGGGCTGCTCCTCACTCCTGTAGTTTGTCTGAATTTGATGGAAATGGGACGGATGTAGGTGATCGGAAGGAGAGCACACCCTAAGCAGGGAATGGAGAAGGAAGATGCCTTTGAACCTCAGGGCAGCTACAGATAACAAGGTATATTAAGGTATATAAGGTAAATTTGGCTCCTACTTTAATTTTTGCCTAGAAACCACTTTAAGGTAAAACCTATCTCACCCAGGCCTACTCCATCACTCACCCTCATCTTGAAATATCAGTGCGAGATGGTTTACAGTGTGGATTCTCCTTCTCCCACCCTCCTCCTGCTTCATCCCAAGCATCTCCAGGAAACAATGACAAGTTATTTTCTTTCTTTTATTCACCATTGTGATACCAAGAGTATGAGTTTAAAAATATAAGAAAAGAAACACACCCCTCCTCCCCCAAACCTCACATATCTCCTGGATGTTCCAGTTCACCAAAGAAATAGTTTTAAATAGACCATCTGAAAATTTTAGGCCAAAGATTGAGTGCAACGGTGGTTAAGGCAGGGAATAGCTGGAATTTAGGCTTGACTTTGGCTGAAAGGTTGGCAGATCTAAAGCTTGGGCTCCCTCCCAAAAGTTCAGGCTGTGCTCTCCCAACTCCCCACCACATGGGCAGAAAGGAGGATCCTCTCCAGGGATTGAGGATGAGTCAAAGTGCATTGTTAGGCGGTTTTCCAGGAAAGAAAGGCTTGGAGAGAGAAATCTGGCTGTGTCTAGGTGAAGTTATTGAGGGTGAGATAGGCAAGAAACCTGAGCACATGGAGGACTTTGTAAGCTAAAACCTGCACCATCTTTGGTCCAGGAAGATGCTGGATTTAATTAGATTTGTTCTGGCTGGATGATGGGACGGGAGATGGGCAGGATGCCCCTCCTGGGGTTTCCCGTGTGGTTATTCTATGCAACAGGGATGGCAGCAGCACTTCAACCTTGTCGTAGAAGAGGATCTATGATTTAAACATCTTCAAGCACCTGTCTATGTGTCCCACCACAAAAATCAAACCAGCTTGTTCCCCACATGCAGAGGTGACACAGGAGAAGGATCCCTGTGCTTTGTGCATCTCTGCTGCCTTCTCACATGGTCCCAATACATACTGTCTCCACTAGAATCTCGCAGGGATTCCATATGGGAATAGCATGGTATGCTGAAAAAACCATAAAGCTTGGTTTTGCCCAATTTCCATCCAGTGTTGCAGGTCCTGGGGTTGCTGATTGTTCCTTTACCCTGAAAGCATCCAAAATTCCCCTCTCTCTTCACTCCCCTTGGTATTTAAGGCGCTCTCCTGTTTTTTTCAATAGGTTTTTTCCAGGGTGTTTTAAGGTAGCACAAGAAAATTTAGAGGAGCTTGATGATGGTCCCACATATCCCAAGAAACAATATCACGGGATTCTGATCACCTTCAGCCTGGGGATTTATGACCCAGGACTCACAGCTCTGTATTGTTCCCACCTGAGACAGGATCCACCCGTGATTAATTCCGTTTATGGGATGATCATGGTGGGAATACAGGCACCAAAGACATATAAATTCACTGAGGGGGATGCTACAGGTCTGGGTAAGCCTGAAAGTTTGTTTAAATGATGCACATCTGGAATAAACCTGGGAAGATGGAGACTCCACAAGCCAGCTGCTGAGGATGCTCATCACTCAGGCAAATCATTATGAATTTCATTCATTTTCATCAGCCCATAAACCATGTGAGAGTGCAAAATGGAGGAGGGGAGATTTTTTCTTCCAAAACCCAGTACTTTTATTATAACTTGCCCTATTTTTTTAGAGCTGTTTATGGGCTGGTCCATAGGAAAAGCAGCTCTAGGGCAGGTCTGGAGGTCTTTGTCAAATTCGGAGGGATTTAACGCCAGATCATACACAGGTTTGGGGTTTGAGGAAGGACCAGGTGATCTTTGGAGGATCTTTTCGTTGATGTGCTGGTCTCAGGATACCTTGGAAGCTTCAAGGCCCATCTCAGAAGCAGAGAAGCAGCTCCCCGGGGAGGAGATTGCGGTGCTGGAATTAGGACTTGGCCCTTATCTCTGGAAAGCCATAAACCTGCTTCCCTTACAACCACATCTGGACACAACTGGAGCTACAAACCCACCCTGAAGAAAGGTTGCCCTCTGGTGC